TCCGTTCATCAACATCAACTTGTTTTTTTTTTTTTTTTTTTTTTTTTTTTTGCGCCCGAAGCAATTAAAGGGCTACCCTGTACGTAGGGAGGCGGAAAATGCATTACGCATACCACGATAGCCGGTCTATCGTGGTTATGGGGGACTCACTGTCCTACCGGGGACCCTAAGTGATACCCCCTAAAAACCGCCTTTAGGGACAGGCAACCGGCTGATTAAGCTCTATTGTGCCTTATCATGAGCGACCCTCTTTTGGGAAAAGAGGGCGCAGGCGGCTAAGTGCCGCTGAGGGAGTGCCTACGAAGGCAAATTAATGTCAGATATTACAATAATTTTATTTAATTAGAGTTGGCCTGAGCTGCCAGGAGACAGTTCAGGTCGTTTGAAAGTTTATTAGGCGGGTCCGAGAGAGAGTTTCTCGGCCTGCGGACACGATAGCGAGAGGGGGGTGGTGCTGCATAAGAAGCTGCCTCACGAATTAAGTGGTTTGGGTGCGACTCTGAGGCTTTGAAGAAGTTCTCAGAGAGTTTTTTAAGAAATTGTTGAATTGTTGGGAGCTCTAAGTCCCGATGAAGGTCGGCATTGCGGACGTACCACGGTGCGTTCGCAGCTCGACGACAGAATAGGTTCTGAACTATTTGGAGTTCATTTAAAATGTTAGGGTTTGCGTAGGCAAAGACGGGGCCCGCGTAGGACATGACTGGTCGTATACATACCTTATAGAGTGTACGCTTGTTTCGAAGGGACATTTTACTGTGTCGGCCCAACATACTGTTGAGCCTACTCAGATAAAAACGTGCGTGCCGGGTTACTCTTTTGACGTGGGGCTTGAAAGTGAGCCCTGTGTCTAGAGTGACACCTAAATATTTGGCGGACGTATGCCAGGGGACAGGGGTCCCTAGCATACGTATTGGTGGAGTGTTTTGTCTACTTGACGACCACGAAGATGTTGTTCAATATGTCCACCTTGTACCTCGGACGAACGACGGCTCCGTTCATCAACATCAACTTGTGGGCCATCGTCCCAATACATACTGTCGCCTCTACACGTTGGCCAACACAGTGGCGAATGGAGTGGCGAATATATTGGCCGAAAGTTGGTGACGGCGTCCACACGTTGGAAGATCGTTCAGTTTACTTCGGTTCGGGCCAATGTGCGGACGAATTTATAAGGCGCAGTGGCTCAGCAATGAGTGGCTGTGCCGGGCGCCGCGGGTTTGATCCCGCACGGAACAAGTATTTGTATGTCCTACAAATAATTGTTTCGGGTCTGGATGTGCGTCCTTGTGCAATTTATGTTTGTAAACTGACTGCGCGATACGGGAGAAAATCCTAGTGTAGGGTTAACGTTTTTATAAAAGAATTATAAAATAATAGTGGATATTAATGGGGTTGTAAATAGATATACGATATACGATTAGCTTTATTTATTCTTTACATGCGTCATAAACTGGAATAAATACCATTAATAAGAACTTAACTTATTTTAAAGTTAAAGGAGTTATAATCGATTAGTCTATGTTTTAAAATTGGGTTTTGATTTCAAAGTTTAGCAAAATATGTACTTGCATTTCTATCAGACATTTGATGTATATAAAAACACCTTATAATTTATTTGGTAATTTAATTATTTTTTTTGAGAAAGACAAAAACAATAGCAATAAATATAATTAACACTGACTTAATAATAGGTACTAATTATAACTTAGAACATAAATGAAAAACTCATGACGAGCAAAGTGGCTCAGGACCATGCTTTGCGGCAGTCTGTGGAGGAGGATGTTCAGTAGTGGACTTGTGAAGAGCTGTAATGATGATGATGATTCGAAAACTTGCACGATTAAATTATAAGAAATCGACGCTTTTTTATATTGGATAGGGTGACAAACGAGCACACAGTTCACCTGATGGTAAGTGGTTGCTGTGGCCCACAGACATCTACATCTATCCTCGATTACGAATCAAAGTGCAGATGCGTTGTCACCCGTGAGGACTAAGATGATATGCCTCGTTACCTTTAAAAAGTGTCTCTGGTTCTCTACACTCACTATACGAAACACAGCATCATTAAGCTACTATTTTACATTGATATTCTGTGAGAGCGTGGTCCTTCCCCGGTTGAGCCGACCCATTCGTGCTACAACTATACTTCTAATATAACTGCATGGTTCTACCACGTATAAACGACGTGCTTCATTTTTTTCATTTTAAAATTGTTCTCGTAATAATCTGATTGTAAATAAATGTTCGTTATTTTTTTGATAAGTAGTTAATCGATTAAAACAAATGTTTAAAAATAATTAAATCGCGCTAATTAAAGTAGTAGGAATGTTTAAAGTTGAAATTGGCACTAAAAGGCTGGTAATTGGGGCATCCACCCTACAAAGCTTGATTATAAAATTTAAATCAGATGCGTGTAATCACTCTGGGAGCTTGTAGCAAACTAAACGCGCGGCCTACGTGTGGACGCGGCGACCAAACTCTGCCAACAATCCTTTGATCTTTTATAAAAAACCGACACCACACGGATATCAGACATACTACTGCAAGACTTATAGTCTTCGTAAAATATAACATCAGGATGTCAAGCACCCCAGTCCCTCCCGTGACCATGGGTACTGTAAAGTATTAAAAAAGTTAAAATTAAAAGTAAAAATTCTTAAAAATAGGCTCATAACAAATGAAGTTCTATTCACAGAGAAAGTTGGAAGAACCACACTCATGAACGGAAGTAGAAAAATGTTCGCCTTGTTGTGGCGGCGAAAGAGAATCCGCCACCTCATATCGTAATAGCAAATATCCAGCCTATTTGTTAATTTATGGGAGAGGCCTATGTGGACCTTTGACAGGCTGTAATGGTGACGATGATGAGTTCTACGCATTATTGCCAAATTCTTTTAAGCTTTAAATAAATAGATTGACTTGGCAATCGCACTAATTACTTGTGAGATACATTGTGTTTTCATGCGATGGCCAAGTCAATATCTATTTATTTAAAACATAAACGTTTTTTAACATTGCTATGGTCACTATAAGGTGTTGTTAGGTTCGCTAATTACGTAATAACTTAAAACAGCAGGATCCTCAAGTAGGGACTGAATAAATTAACCGAATTGCTACTATTACACGGATCTCACAACTTTTTACGGTAGAAGAACTGAGTTGCGAGACTTGGGTTTTTTTACAAGTTATGTTTTTGATGGCATTATTTTAACATATAAATATAAGTTATTTAATTGTATTTTATATTATTTAATAATATTAGTAAGTAAAGGCAAAATTTACTTTTTCTATTTGATAACAGATGGCGGTGATTTTTTTAAACTGTGGATCGTCGACGTAGTTTCAAATAATTAAACAAAGGTTAAAACTAATAAGAAACTTTATTTATAAATATAGTATTTATTTCAAAAACACCAGTCATTACTTGTAACTAACATATTCCCATTTAATAGAAAATTAACATCTAAAGGAAGGAAAATACTTAAACTTCCTTTTTGAAGTTCAGTAATCGGACAAAAAATAGCCTATAAGTTGTCCTGGGGTATTAACAACCTACATAGAAAATTTCATGGAAATCTGTTCAGTAGTTTTTGCGTGAATCTTGAATACACAGACAGCCAAACAGACAGACAGAAAGACAGATAGGCAGACAAAAATTCTAAAAACCACTTATTTGACTTCAGTACCTTTTACTTAGACCCCTTGACTTGTTTTTTTTTTCAAGAATATAATAGAATTACAGACACGACTTCTCTACAGATTAAATATATGTATAGATGGATATTCGCAATAAATAAATATATTATGACACTCTTCAATTTCAACGTAAATAAAACCATAGATAAATATGGTTTCTAATAACAACCCACGTAGATAAATGCTAAATAAAGTTTTTTGAATTTGTTGAGCATTTACATAGCTTGTTTGAATTTGCAAAGATTGACAAAAATCAACTAAAATTACAACAAAACAAATGAAATAGGTACCTACATAAATAATTATGCCTTTTTAGTAATATATTAAACGATAGTCTCATTGTTTAAATAAATAAACTCTGTTGTCCACATAAATAGTAATAATATTGTCTTATTATTACGATTTCTGTACTGTTTTATCTCTTTCTAAGGTAAATTAAATTGGTAACAAAAATAATTAAATCGCTTTTCTTTTTGACATCAAGAAAATGCAAATTGTCAAGGTAGATTAAGCAATAATAAAATATTGTGTAATGTGTAATGTTTGTTGGCTGTGTTGGCATTAATTGGGTAAATATTAAACAAATGATAAGTAATTACATTATTTTAATATTTGCCGAATCAAAAGCATTAATGATAAGGCTAGCTAGAAGAAATATTTTCCGCCGCCTACACTTGGATGTGGTGCGGTCCGCGACCATATTTTATAGGGTTCCTGCTTGAATTAAGGTTCATGTTTGTGTCGGGACACTGACGGAGTTATTGTTTTCCTCCGAAGGCCTAAAAAGGATCGTTGAAAACATACCGGGCTAATATACCAACATCTAAGAGACCGCGTTTGTATTGACGGATCTCCCCTTGAACGAAGTTTCTTGCGTCCATGTATCAAAAGGAGTGAGAAATGATAAAATCACCAGTTCATGCTTGAAAAGTGGAAAGTGACTGGTCCACCCGTGGTCAGGAAGCAGAACTGTCGAAGTTGTTCATCCGGTTCTTCGGGCTGGTGTTTGTGCTTTCTGAAAAGATAGTCGACAGCCGAGTGCCATCACTGTTGTAACGATGAGGACATGGCGCAGCATTTTTTGGATATATTGCCCAGCTTAGACTGATTGCGCTTATTCCCCCATGGTTTTGTGTAGGGAACGACCTGTCGTTCCCGGACTGGATTATAGCTTATACGTTTTGCTACTGTGAACTAAGAGTTACCTAATGCTTAAATGCATTAAGACCGCCAATTGTACACTTTACGTGCAATAAAGATTATAAATAAATAAATAAATTTATAGCTTTTTAATTACTTACCGCAGCCACTATAGAGTTATTATTCTCATAAATCCACTCATGACACTCCTCCAGAATTTCTAAAAATGTTGTGTTGGAGCAAGTCTGATTCTCCCTCTCGAATCTTTTGTCTACAATCGGTCTGAAGCATTTCGAATCCACATCTTTTGGCCACCATTTTGGTAATTCCACGCTCGGATTAGGTTCTTCGCATTCTACTAGGCACCTGAGACAAAAAGAGTAAAAAAATATATTTACAAAGGAGATCAAAGTCAAATTTATTTATATATCCGCGTAAATTAAAGTTTTCATAGAATAGGTATCCAGACTAAAATCTCTGCTGTCATTTGTTTGGCGACTATCGAGCACTGTAAACTTTTTTAACTCACTGACTTATGAAGCATTTCATTTAAGTGATGACAAAGCATCTGCATTTTGGTTCTTAATCTAAGATACATGTAGGATGTTAAAAATCCGCATACACCTACTCGCACTTCTATCCAAGATTCCATTTTATGATATTATACAAAGGAACTCACTCAGAAACCTTAGAAATACATGTGAATGCATGGCCACAATGAGTTTTCATATATATTTATATGACATATATAACAAATAAATGAAATGTCCAGAGAACCGGGGACCTTTTTTGTTGGAAACGAGGCATTCCATCTTATTCCACGGGTGACAACGCATCTTCGTTTTGATTCGTAATCGAGGCTAAGTGTAGATGTCTATGGGCCACATCATACCCCTTTCCATCAGGTTGACTGTGTGCTCGTTTATCACCCTTATTTTATTTTTAAAAAAAAACTAGATGGAGCGATGACCTGGTAAGACATGCAGGAAGTCGATGTATCACCTGCATACATCACAGCTCAGCTCAGCTCAGAACCGTGCTTTGTGGCATTTCTTGAGGGAGGCTTATGTTCAGCAGTGAACTTGTAATGATGAAGGACTGTAATGATGATGACGATGACTAACTAAGAAGTTACTTTCTAATAAACTCAAAATAAGCATCGAATTATTACAGCAAATAGTAATGCGTGCGTATTACGTTTATTTGATTGTAAGTATTAGATACACAGAAATCGTAATAATAAGACAATTATTACGATTTATGTGGTTAGATAGGTAGGTACTATGCAATGATTTAAAACATTTATAGTTAACCAAATTTATTTCACTTTTTTTTAAATAATATGTTTAAATTTTTAGTTTTTGGACTATTTACACCATTTCAATATTTTTTCTATACTTATTTAGGGGTTTATTATTTATTTATACTTGTTGTATATGTACGACTGTGCTGGACAGCACCAAAAGTACAGGCCGATAGGGGGCGCATATTCTTAGTTAGCCTAGGACTGGCGGAACTCCAACTGCACTACAACCAGCCCATTGATTAGAATGAAATATCTAATTTAAATGAAACGGTCGCTGAGAGGTGTGTGCGCCGATTCATATAGTGAGCGCGGTGATTGCGTCAAATTCTCATTATTATTTTTAAAAAAAATCCATGTCAATGAATTATTATAGACTATAAAGTTCCAATTCAGATAGATTTTGTAAGATTTGTGTAAGAGTTCCGAAAAATATACATCTTGATTATTTAGAGACATGATTGACGTATCTAACCTAATAATTCTATGTATCTAACATTATCTTATCATTGCACACATTTATCTATCGTGTAAATAAGTGTATTTTAAATATATGCTAAACACAAACAACTTTTTATTTTATTTTATGACGACCTTTTCCTTTCCCTACTTAAAAAATAGCGCGTCGTTGAACTCATGGGTGACTATAATTTTTCAAAAAAATGTTTCCTAACCTTTCTTAATTTGTTAACTTTCCTATATACCTATAGATAAACAATTTGAGACAATTCCATTAAAATGTGCAACCACTTTTTGACCGACTTAAAATAAAGAAGCAGGTTATCATTTCGACTGTTATTTATATATTATGTATGTTGCGCAATATCTTTGTCAATTATTGTGAAACGATTTTGATCATTCTTTTTTAATTAGGTAGGTTATACTTTAGGGCTAGTCTTATATAAATAAGAAGAAAAATTTCCACAGCTAATGGTGGAAAAATAGCCTACTAAACTTTTGCTTTAACTGTATAGACGTCATTCGAGCTTGTAATAATCCCTTCAGCTTGGATTACAAAACCGTTTTCATTGCCTAGAAGACCGCAATGCAGTGGACGATATGAATGATAAAGTGGTGGAAACTCTCCATGCGATCGGAGCTAAGTTCTGCAAGACCCGTCGCAGAAGAAAAATATTTTGGCCAAAACAATTAACCGTGATTCTGAGTGCAATATTTTAGTAGTTAGGTGTGCCTCCAAAATTTATTAATTTATAATGTTACGCTTTGTTTTCAGTCCGCCGTTTTTTTAAGATATTATTTATTCGACAGATGTTGCTGCCCTCAAACCTCACCTCCTGGTTTACCTCCCTCGGTATAATATGGGTAGTGAATATTCTTACAACGGCACTACTAGTCGATATAATATTAACAGTTATTATAATATTACGATTATAATAACTGTTAATTTATTGTTATATATTAAATATTATCTACGTATATGTGTATAATATATAAATGATAATTTAAAAAGTAGGTAATTGTTTTTTATTTATGTATAATAAATGCGTAAATAATTAAAATCTACTTATAAGCATGGGAAAATATGAAATCACCCAGTTTCGTAATGAAATTCGATTAAAAAAATAACTTAAAAATGTTTACCTGTGGTTTACGTCTTCAGCTACAAAAATATAATTAACGTGAACCATCGATACCATAATAAGTGGAAGGCATATCAATAAATATTGTAATGTCTGAAATCTTCCAAATTTATCTAAATCTTTAAACATATCTATTTCTATGCTATTGGATGAACTTAAAACTGTCATATTTTATTCTGTTATTTTCACCACCAAAACCGTAATGCGAATTACCTTAAAAATGATACTCTCTCAAGCAACTCCTACTATGCGAATAGATACGGATACAGCCAAAGAACTAATTGGAATAAACACGACTGAAATGATTTTGATACTAGGTACGCCCGCAACGACTGTACTACTACGTCGTTTGATTCGGAATAGCATGAACATTGGCTACTATTGCTAGTCACAAACTCATAGCACTCGCGTCTATAAAATGAGTTATGTGACAAGCTAAAAAATTAAAAACAAAGAAATAGATAAATAAAACTAATTCCTTTTCAATAAAGTGACACTTAAAGATATTGAAGTAGAAGTTAGGCGTCACACAGAATCCTATTCTCATCTCCGGGCCTGTGAACATTTGTGCAAGCTCCTTCCACGTGATCCCATCCAGGTAAGAGCGAACAGCCTAATCTTATGTGTAATCTATTCATAGTCTTTCACATCAATATGCTGCTAATGTGACATTGGGCTTAACTCAACTGGACAGCTGTCGATGAAGATAGTTTCTTAAATCACCCAAGCGAATAATAATCTTTATTTTCCACCTTCGGAGCACTTGTAATTAGAGATAAAACGGATATTTGATTACTATTCGGCATCCGGCTAAAATTTTTATATCCGGTATCCGGGTGGTTACCGGATACTTAATTATAATATATAAAAAATCAGGCTTCAAATACAAAGGGCAATTTTTAATTACCTTAAACGCCTTATTCACGGTCCATCTTGCTGAACGTTCCGCCTAGGTCATGCACCACGCACGACGCAAAACGATAATGAGTAGGCTTCACATACATCAATAATTACGTACGTCAAGCGTACTCAATATCCTTTTGCGTTGTGCATGAACTTAGCGGGATGTACAGCAAGATGGACCGTGAATGAGGCGCTTTAGTATCTTCGTAATCATTATAACATTATAGCTCAAGTAATGTGAAATTCTCGACTAGAAATAATAGGTTTAAGATTTGACTGTCTTTGTTCTGTGGCAGATGGTGAATTAAACCACACATATACAGTTAATAGTTTATTACAGTAATTAAGGGTGAACAATAATCGTATCGCGTAGGCGTGAACGGGGCGCAAGATGGGCAGCCTCTCAGCGTCGCGTAGCTAGACCGAATGGTGAGCTGGAGAAAACCGAGTGCCCCTTGAAGCTGCGTTCGCGCCGCCAACTGTTTAAGAGAACGCCCGAGGCAGAGCGCGTCGTTTCTCCACATCAGCCCCCCAGGACCCCGGAGACCTTAAAGCCTCATTTACATCCAGCGCCTGCCACTGCTCCTCGCGCTGCCGGCAATACTTCGCTAAATACTGCCGTAGCAGGATCGCGGGGAGTGTGTATTTACATTCTGCCCTACCACTCCATCACTTTCGGCTTTCGACTATGGCAGACGTCGAAATAATTACAGCGTCCGCGCTGTGTCTTCTTGCAATACAAAATTATGTTAATAATTTAAAAAGATATCAAGTTCAAAAGAAGATAGATAGAAAATTTATTTGCTTAAAAGCATGATACATAAGATGATCAATGACGTGGAACTGACATGTTTTGCCATAATTGGCATGCAAAAATAAAGACAAGATGAAGCTGTAAGAGTCGCATAGACTAACAGCACTAACATCTAGATAATAGAGAGACAAACATTATTTTTGAATTGAACAATTAAATACTTATACAGATCCACTCTATTTGAATTCTTACACAGTACATTGTTCATAAATTATTAATTGAATTATTAAATAAATAATATTAAATATTATATAAGATTAGTTGAGCTATTATTATTTTAATAATTACACTACAGTATAAATTAATTAATAATTTTAATTACAATAAAATTATAATTTAAAAATCTCAGGCTATTATGCAAATATTACCATTTAACTTATTTTACATTTTAATAAATAAATAATCAATATGAGTTACTAATCGTTTTTAGAAATAAAATGTCAATGTTTATTAATTCCAAAACTTTATATAATAAATACCAAATTTCATATTAATATAATTGGATGAGCGACGGGCCTAAGGTTACCGAATTCAAATTCCCCGGTCGAGCCTTAAGCCTATTACGCGAGATGTTACACCAAATGGACTGTATAAGCGAATGGCTTCTTCCGTCTCCACAAAATGGCGACTATAGCATGCGGTTTTCCTGACAATGCACTCGTTCTTCCCTAAACGAACTATTGCTTGCCAAAGTCTATGAAGGAACCCCGCTCGATCACGCTAGGAGAAAATTAAAATGGAGCGGATTAACTGATAAATACAATTATGTCAAGCGGGCTTATAACTGGAAGTTACTCACCGGGGTGTTGCTTCAATGCGGCTTGGGCGCTTTGTTGCTGCGGTGCGACTTCTGGCGGATTCTCTGGGGCCCCAGAGATGCGTTCCTGTCCGGTGACGCGATGGAAGAGAGCGGTGCGCGACTATTTCTCACACGAGGTGAGGCGGTTACTCCCGGAACTCGACTGCTCCGGGCTAATGCGGTTGAACTAGCGGTGCGCGTGGGCAAAGCCCTCTAGGACGTGACTGTCCTAGGCGGTGTGGTTCCAACTGGTGCGCGAAGGGAAGAGACCGCGCGTGGGCCGCGCGCGCGTTTATATTACTTCGGTTGCGAAGATCACGTGACATTCTAGAACTATCTTCTTTCCCCTCTCACCCCACCACCCCGGTGTATCGATAGGACGGTAGGTTTTTTTGGAAAGGACAAACGCTTTGGCAAGCTTACCCTCGAATAAAATAAAATACGAATGGTTTTCCGCGCAACCTTCCCCCCCGGCTTGAAGTATTTCCATCAAAATAACGAAAACAACTAAAGCTAAGATCAAACTAACAAAATGACTAACTAACGCTAAGATTAAACCTGAATTTCGACTACAATTTCTAATCTAGAAAGCTAACTTAAACTATGGAAGAGGCAAGGGGCACAAACGGACAACAGGACGCATGTAAGACCCAACCGTGGTCTTAACGCGAGCTACCCTAATTACTCCGTCGGAACCGGGAAAAACCTCTTCGACAATCCATAATGGCCATTGGAGAGGCGGCGTATTCTCTTTGGTGAGCACAACTACAGTTCCTACAGTTAAAGGTTCAGTTGCTGTGTTCCATTTTTGCCGAGACTGCAAAGTATACAAGTATTCCATCCTCCATCGTTTCCAAAACGATTGCACTAACCGGTCTAATAATTTATGGCGTGCGGAAATGCTAAGTTTGTTCTCGTCCATATCTACGGCGGGCAAATACTTCAAAGGCGTTGAATTCAAAAAATGTGCTGGAGTTAGAGCCAGCGGCTCCGAGGGGTCACTAGACCAACGTACGACAAAGTGGGCGACTATTCATTACGCACTCAATTTGAGCGAGCACAGTACTTAGCTCTTCGAAGGACAAAATTTGATCTCCTATTACTCGGTATAAGTGATTCTTTAGACTCTTAATATTAGTCTCCCAATTGCCCCCAAAATGACTCGCGGCTGGGACGTTCAGAGACCACTCGATGCGGTTCTCGGCTAAAATGTGAGCGAACTCCGAATTATAATACTTGCTAGCTAAGAGCTCATGTAGTTCTGATAAAATACGTTTCGCACCGACGTAGTCCGTACCGTTATCCGAATATAATTTACTTACAGGGCCACGGCGGGAAAGAAATCTTTTAAACGCACCCATAAAGCCTGCTGTGCTTAGATCACCAACGAGTTCTATATGCACCGCCCGAGTAGTTAGACATACGAAAATGCAGACGTAAGCCTTTGTGGATCTTATACCACGCCCGCGACTGAGCGTGACCTTAAACGGACCAGCAAAATCAGACCCGGTGTGCGTAAAGGGCTTTAGGGATTGTATTACTCGACAAGACCCAAGTTCCGCCATTTCCGGAAATGACGGCTTGGGACGTACCCGAAAGCAAGTTATAAATCTGTGCACCCGATTGCGGATTAAGTTACGTGCGGAAAGAATCCAATAATTCTTACGCAAGATCGACATCAGCAAGTCGGGGCCAGCGTGAGAATTCAATTTATGATGGTAATCAACTAATAAATTCATGATATGGTCTTTACGCGGTAAAACTATAGGGTGCCGTTGGTCGAAACTCAACTGCGAGTTGGACAAGCGTTCCTACCTATGTACCGCACTGGCATAGTTGTAATCGCACGCTAAGATATACGAACGTCGCGGTAAAAGCTTCGCGAATCGACAAACGTAAATTACGCTGCGCAATAATTTCGACCAAGAGGACAAGCGGTTCGCCAAAGCAATGATTGGAGAAACCTCGCTCGAAACGCTCGCCACCAGAGCGTGCCTCTTCTCTTCCGGCGGTTGTGACACAGACGAAGGGTCGAAATTGGTTATTGGCCATTGCGAGGGTTCCAAGTGAACCCAAGAAGGTCCGTGGAACCAAAGCGGATGGTCCATTATTTGCATCGGGGTGAGTCCACGGGATAGGCAATCGGCAGGGTTTTCCGTACCGGACACGTGATAAAAGTTCCGCGTTCCTAACTCGTCTTGGGTCTTGGCCACTTGGTTCGCGACAAACGTATCCCAACAGTGGGGCGATGAATGAACCCAACATAAAGCGACGTTGGAGTCGGAAAAGGCAAATATCCTTTCTATGTGAACTCTGTCCCTACATGCGCTGATAACTGCGGTAATAAGCCTGGTGAGGACTAATATTGCGCAAAGTTCTAAGCGCGCCAGAGAGACAACATTACGGGGGGAGACTCTTGACTTAGAGCTAATGAGGCTAATCGAATTTCTACCATTATTCTAGACGTGGAAATATACAACGCCCCCGTAAGCTCTCTCACTGGCATCTGCAAACCCAACGACCGTGATGACGCTATTTTTATCGACGTTTATATGACGTGGTATTTTAATTTCTCTTAGTAAAGGAAGTTCCTCTCTAAAACGTTGCCACAACCGAACAATGCGGTCAGGCGGCGAGTCATCCCAATCGCAT